TAATCAGTTCAAAGCTTAAGCCCTAGACAAAGACTAGAAACTTTCTTACTTTTGTTTTATTATAATTCTCATAATAAAAAAGTTATAACATGTAACAAGGTGTGGGCCAACCATCTGAATAGTAGGCAATCTAAGCACCCTCCTACTCGCCTAGGCATGTACCTAATTACCTAAGCGAGCGCTTAATAGGAAAATCATTTAGCGTTTGGGCAAAGCAACCCATGAAAACCGCCCAGTCGCCTAGGCAACACTAGGCACCCTAGTGCATCTCCACAAGATTCTTCCTATTTTCCTTGGCCACCTGAAAGTTCCACCTACAAACAAACTAGCTAAGCTTGTAGGTAGACTCTACCTACACCCAAAGAGGTCAAAGAACCACTGCCAGATAGAGGTAACAACAGAGCAAGAAATTAGAATGTGACAAGCAGCCTCACCACTTGCTTTAGAAAATGAGCATCAGTTAGAGGATAAACAAATATTGTTCCTTCTCTTTTGTAGCAAGTCTAGAGTGTTGATTTTTCCAAGAAAGACCTCCCAACAGAATGTCTATATTTTTAAGGGAACTGGTTTGCACCACACCTCACTCACTGGAAAGGAAGACCCATTGGAAGCATGAACAACAAAAGACTGAAGGAAGGAGGCATAAGCGAAGGAACCTTTGGGGTCAGGAATCCAGATTTTTTTCATCAGGAAAAGAAGGATCTACAGAAACTGAGTCAAGGATATACAACAGCTTGATTATGACGGAGCACTCAGCCTCTCTTAACCCTGTTCTAAGAACCAAGTTCCACGCCGCTCCCTTGGAAATAGAATAAAAGGAAGAAATAGGTTCATTTTTAAGCAAAGATAAGGAGTAAAGAGAGGGGAAAGCATCTTTAAGAGTAGAGTCACCCACCAAGAGGTCCTCCTAAAACCAAATTTTAGACCCTGAATAAGAACCATAGCTGACTAGATCAAGGAAAAAGGGAACTACCGCATGAATAGCTTTCCAAGGAGAGGCCAAAGTAGCTTTGTCTGAGACATCAGTATCCCAACCATTTTGCAATTGTCCATGTAAACTTGCTATCACCTTATGCCACAATTTCTCACTTTCCAGAGGGAATCTCCACAACCATTTCCTTGGAAATGCTTGATTTTTACAAGTCACATTCTCCACCCCTAACCTGCCTTCTCTCTTACTTTTTCCAACTTCACCAGGTGATCCTTCTTTCCTTCTCCAAGTTCCCAGACAAAATCCGTCATTAGTTTTTCCAACAAAGTACCGACTTTTTTGGGTATCTTAAAAATAGAGAGCTAATATACCAGGAGGTTTGCCAAAGTAAATTTGATCAAGGTTAACCTACCTCCTAATGAGAAACAATTCTGCTTCCAAGCTGCTAGCCTTTTTTCAAACCTTTCTACAACTGGTCCAAAAATTCACACTCCTTGGGTTGCACTCTAGAGGCAAAGCAAGGTATTTCAAAGGCCAACCACTAGTTTGACAACCTAGGACCTCCATATTAAATATAGGAGTTATTGAAAGAGAGGGAGTAATTATTGGAGTTATTAGAGAGAAAAACAGGAGGTAATTATAAAGGTTATAGGAAGTAACTATATGAGAAATTAAAGAGAGAAGGAATGGTTTTTTTTTTTTTTTGAGAAAAGGTTAACCAGATTTCATTAAAACAGCATGAAGTACATGAGCAGATTTACTGCACAGAAGAAAGAAAACCCAAACAGCTAAAGAGAAAAATTACAAGGGGGGAAGCCTATTGCTGTACAGATTTTCTAGTCTTGCTCCTATTTTAGCTAAGCCATCTGCAATATGATTCAACTCCCTCGGTATCCACAGCAAGTTTGCATTTATATTTTCCAATGAGTCTCTTGCCTCAGCCAGATAATGGCTCAACCTCCAAGGGCCCCCTCCTTGTCCTTCAGCCATTTGATAGTATTAGCAGAGTCCCCTACAATGGATAAGTTCTGAATGCCCAATCATTTTATGAGGTGACATTAAACTAATTAGGTGCAGCTATAGTAATAATATTACAATAAGGTGTACACATTGTGATTCTGCTACCTAAGCAGACATCTAGTCACCCAGACAGACACCTTTTTGATATAAGCCATGCCATACAGAGCACCAAGTCGCCCAGGTAATGCCTTGACAACAATGGGTAAGTTGTTGGACAGAGGTGGGTAAACCCATATAGCTCATGTCTATTTATCCCTTCTAGTATTTTTTTATTGTTTATGTTGAGTTTTGGGCTGATAACATTTGTTTTTATTTACAAAGCATAGTTCAAGAGTTTTGGGCCCAAGGCCCATTAGTTTATGTTTAAGCTAGGAGTGTTTACTTAGTTTTTACAAGTAGCCGACTTACTAAGTGCATACTTGTTTTTGTATTCAGTTTTTATTTATGAGTATATAAGCTAATGAAAAGGGCAGACAAACCTAATTTTGGCTTCTCCCATTCTCTTCAACTTCTCTCCTCTTTTTCTTCTCTGCACAAACCTTCTCTTTTCTTTCTTTCTTTCTCTTACACAGATTTTATATCAAAACAGAACTTTTGCACTTTTCTACTGTTTATTTATCCCTTCTAGTATTTTTTTTGTTGTTTATCTATCCCTTCTAGTATTTTTTTATCAATAACAGTGAATTTTATTAAAGTATTGAAAATTACATAGCAAAGGAGCTAAACAATCTTAACTCCCAAATACAACCAATGTACACCCAAAATGTAAAGCAATTACAGCACAGCCCAAAACATAGAGTTTCTGTTCACCCCTTGCCTAGCTAGACCATCTGCCATGGAATTTGCACTTCTCTTTACCCATGTACATTGAATTTCAATGTCCTAGGTCAGCCACTTAAGTTTCCTCTTTTCATTGCTGTAATTCCAGAGCCTAGAATTGTCCTCTTTTAGCCAGTTCACCACAATTTCAAAATCTCCTTCTATGATCAATTTATTAATATTCATGTCCTTGACCCTTTGTACCCTTCAAGGGCTGCTAGTATCTCAGCCCTCAAAGAATCTCCCACCCCAATTGGACCAGAATACATAGCTAACAGATTCCCTTTTTCATCTCTTATTGCTCCCTCTATTCCAGAGGGCCTTGGATTGACCATACTGCTGCCATCGAAATTCAGTTTAGTAAAACCATGAGGTGGAGGGGTCCAGCAGGAACTTGAAGCCTTTTTAGCTCAAGCTGATTCTGCAATCTCCTTCCAATTCCTTAGCATCTCATCAACTGAGAAATCTGCAAACAAGTCTAAAGTTTTCAACCAATGTATCACCCTAATATGAATAACCTCCAAAATTACTTCCAAGCTTCTCTCCTTATCTGAAAAAATCTGTGAATTTCTCTCCTCCCAAACAGTCCAACAAACTGCAGCCCAAACACATCTCCATATAGTCTTAGCCCTTTTTGTTGACCAGTTAGGCATGGAAGTGAATAAGCTTTTCACATTCAAAGGGGGAGTCCACCTGCACCCAAACAGAGAAGTAAACCATTCCCAAATGACTTTAGCAAACTAACAGGAAATTAGTAAATGGTATCCAAACTCACCATCAGATTTACAGAGGACACACCAGTGAAGAGACAAACAGCTATTAGATCTTTTTCTTTGAAGTAAATCACATGTATTAACTCTTTCTAGGAAGGCTTCCCAACCTTGGGAGGTATAGGTTGACACCACACCTCTTTAATAGGAAAGGACAGTCCAGCAAAAGAAGGTTGTGTTAGGGCTTTAAAGAAAGAGGCATAGGAACGGCCTGCCATAGTTGCCAAGGCGACTAGGTGAGGCTAGGCGACCATGGGGCGCCCAGGTACCTAAGTGATGGAATCTGACCTAAACTATTTTATAAGTTTAGGAACTAGGAARGGAGTAGGTTTGGCTGCTAAAAATAATAAGTGCAGGAAGAAGGATGAGGAGGAGGGAGGAGAATAGGGGCGGAGCCCCTGTTTTTCGGGAAAAAAAAAAGCATTGAATTTGGGCTGGAAGAAGAAGAAGAAGAAGGAGGAGGAGGAGGAGTATAGGGGCAGAGCCCCTGTTTTTTCGAAGAAAAAAGAACTGAAGCTGGGCTGCAAAAGAAGAAGCCCCTGTTTTTTCGAAAAAAAAAAAAAAAAAGAGCACTGAAGCTGGATTTAGGCGCCCGCGGTCGCCTAGTATACAAAACTATAGGCGTTTGGGCGAGGCGACACTGTAAAACCACCTAGTCACCTATGCGGCCTGCACTATCCCTTCTTGTACTTTCAGATGCAAGGAACGGCATGAGGCAGTTCACTTGCCAAAGGCATTAAGTAAACCCCAAAGAATGGAGGACAAGGATCTGATTTGTGACTACTGTAAGAAACCTAAACATACAAGAGATACCTGTTGGAAGCTTTGGTCTTAGGCGGGGGTTCTGTTTTGTTTTGGGTGCTGTATGGTTTTCTTGCCCGGGTTTCTTTGCTGTGTCATGTTGGTGCTTTTGCTTGTTTTGGGGTTAGGTTGTTGGGGTGATTGGATTTTGGGGGGATTGGCATACAAAGGTGTTAAGCTTTAGTAGGTTGTTCTTTGGGTTTTTCATTTCAGTCGGGTGATTGCTTATCACCTTTCCTTGTATCCTGTTTTTTCCTGTTTCAATAAATTTTTATTTATCTTCAAAAAAAATATGTATGTATGTATTGACATCTAGTACATTATATGCATGTACGTATTGACATCTAGTACATTATATGTATGTACGTATTGACATCTAATACATTATATGTTACCTTTTTCTAAAAAAATTATAAAAGAAAATCGTTGCAAGAATTAAGCAAAGGTAGAGAGACATGAAGCTTAACAAGGATTAAGATATACAAATACAATGATACAAATTTTATCAACATGACACTTAAAGCATTCAAATAGCAAAAGAAAGTGAGAAGTAAATAAATGTTACTGATCAAAATGAATAATCAGAAGTAAACAAGTTTACCATCAAATAACCACCATAACCTACAGATGGAAGGATAATATCAAGCAATTGAAGCTACCTGAATGCCAGCATAGCGTTTCCAGGCTTTGTCAAGCTTGTAATCTGTTGAAAGCAGTCGATAATTGGACAATGCAAGCTCATAATCCCGCAACATGAAAGCATAGTCACCCAAGACTCTTATCTGAGACTCAACTGAGCTGAACGTATACCTTCAGTAATGGTTATAATGTCTGGATTAGAATAATAGTCAAGGCAGTGGAACAAGAATTGAATAATGATATATATAAATAACATAATTGAATAGAATTTTACATAGCACCACTCGCAGCATCAGGTGTATCTTCTTTTCCCTTTCTCCACCATAAATTTCTTATTTGGTTCCTAAAGCCCTTTCTTGTAGCAGAAACCTAACAGAAATGCAACATTAGATTGTTGAGAACCAAGGACAAAATAAAATAGGTTGAATCACTACAACACTGGAAAAAGCATTACATCCTTCATATCTTAACTCAAGAACCAATGATCTAGAAAGAAGTACCTGCTGATTAAGCATGCGTATCTTTTGTTCCATGTGAGGAATGATATGTTTGGAAGACAGATCTTGCATGAGGTCCTTTATCTATTTTCAATTTTTGCAAACTAACATTTTTGTCAGAATCCTATCTATATAATTGTTTGAAAAGATTATTACTAATAAATAAGGCCTTGACTGGTTTTGAGGCAATGCAGCCAATGAAGGATAAGACAATACCTCATTAAGATCATTTACATTAAGCAAACAACCAAGATCTTCACTAAGTGGCACATCATTTTTCTGCCAAAAGAAAAAAAAAAGACAACCTTAACATTCAGGATTTTTAACAAATATTAAAAACATTCTAAATCAAAACAACCATCTTTTATAGAAAACAGATTTCCCAAATGCAGACTTACATAAGCACTCCAAGGGTTATCTTGCTTTTCTTCCGATCCATCTTTTCCAGAGTTAATGCACAGCAATCTACAGTCGTTTGAACCAAATGTACCTCTCATTTCTGTCAAAATATTAGATGCCCTGCAAATAGATAATTAAAGACTGGCTGAAAAACAAATGCAACAGACCTTGACAATATCAACACATAATGAAAGAAATCAGCAACCTTTCCAGTGAAATGTGAGCAAGCTTCAACTAGGTTCTAAGAGAAAATAACTGTTTGGCCGACAGTCTTGCCAAGCAAGGGATCAGCAGAATACAATTGCTTTTTTATCAGCAACAGAAAGCATAGATTTATTAATTAGAGGATAAATTTACAACATCATGAGTAGCCTCGGCTACCCCAGAACAACTCAGAAAAAAATTCTTATCTTACAAAGAAGCTCAAAAGCAATTCCCTCTATTAACCCCTTGCTTGGCCAAATAATCAGCAATGCAGTTTGCTGATCTAAGGACCCACTGCATAACCACCAGCATATCTTTTGAGAATCTTGGGAATTTTCTGAGCTCATTTCTGTAATACCACGGAACCTTATCCTCTTGATTCAGCCAGCTTATAATCAGCAGAATACAAATACTTCTGGGGATCATACCTAGGGGGGATTAATGAAAATGTATATACATATCTAAACAAAGAAAAAGAAGGGTGAGGTAGTGTTACTAAACTACCATGGGTGACAAAGTGTACCTTGTATATAGTACTTAATTCATTTACAATAGGGACTCGCAAGGGGACTCTGAAGATGACTCAGACTGGGAGGATCTGAGAGATGTGGAAGAGGACGAAGTGAATCAGCCTTCAAGTATTGGTAGCCTCGACTCAACAAAGGCCTGTAATTTCACAGGCCTCGAGTTCTTTGGAACTGCACTCCTCTTTAGTGAAGATGCTGATACAGAATTTCTGGAACAACAGGAATCGGGGGATGGTGACTCTACTGCAGAAAGTGGGAAGCCTTTAGATGATTCTCAGAGAGAGGAGAAAGTAGAAACAAATCGAGAACAAGGGCAGGGTAGCGGTTTTGAGGAGATGGGTCACCACCTCAAACCGAACATGGATTCACTTGAGGAACAGCTACCCCAGCTGCATGGGTGGTTACTGAACTTGACCTCAAACCATCAGAGACTGTACCTGGAGCGATCGATAGGAACCAGGACCAGGGAGTTTCTTCCCCCCTTCCCCTCATTCCCATCCACTCTTCTTCCCCTCTTTCCTTTCAAAACTCAGTTGATCTTGTTCCTTGTAGTAATCCTCGGGTTTTGGTTTTTGTAGATCCAGCTGTTGAAACCTCACTGCTTGCGGATAATGACCCTTGTGTGGCAAGAAAAGAAGGGGGTCAAGAAAAAGACAGGGAGGGAGAAGTAATCTTGAATATGGTCCTAGAAAACCTTGCCACCTTGATAGAACAAGCTGAGAAATCTGAGAAGGAAAATGGGGGAAATGGAACTGCAGTAGGCACAAAGGAACTCAGCCTATTAGATGGGAAAGAAGGTGGGTGTAGAGAACCACCCAATTTGAAAGGGCAGGAACAAAAAGAATCTAATGGAAAGGTCTATCTTAGAAAGGAGGCTGGAGATGATAAAAAAAGAAAAAGGAAAATGAATGAGGTGGAAATGCTAGCCTGCGAAGTGTCCTATGAGAAGATAGTTAACAGGAAGAGGGAGAAAAACAGAGGAGAATAGGACTTGGGAATAGGAAAGGGTCTAGACAAAAGAGTGGAATGAAGATTCTTTGTTGGAATGTAAGAGGGTTAGGGAGTGCAAAGAAGAGGAGAATCATCAGGAATGTGATATAAACAGAGAGACCAGTAATAGTCATTCTTCAGGAATACTTCTTGCAAAAGAAGTGGGTGTGGAGCAGCTTCTGATTGAAGGGGATTCTAAGACAGTGGTGGATTGGTTAAATAATCCGGAGGATGTCACTTGGGGCTACAAAAATGAGTTAAAGAAATTCAAGTGGCTGACAAGAAATATGTCTATAAAGATACAGTGGGTTGGGAGATCAGCTAATGCTTTTGCCGATGTATTGGCAAAACAAGGGACAAATAGGGAAACATTGTTCTAGGCGCAACTGTAACTCTGATTTAACATTAACTTTCTTGTAATATATGTTGTAGTTTATGTATTTGCTGTTTCGAGAGTTGGCACCTCGCACCTCTCTAAAGGGATTTTCATGTAACCAATTTTTGAATTAACGGAAGATAATTTATTTATCAAAAAAAGTAGCCATGCTTCAGGAAACAAAACTTTTGGATTTGGATGGAAGATGGATAAGAAGTATTTGGAGTAGTAGGGGTCTAAGTTGGTCTTTTGCCCCATCTTGGGGCACCTCGGGTGGTATCCTTACAATTTGGAAGAACAAGGAAGTAGATTGTTATGAGGAGTTGATAGGACAATACTCGGTATCAATAAAAGCCAAGAGGATGAGTGATGGAAGGGAATGGATGCTGACCAATGTGTATGGCCCTAACTCGTATAAAGAAAGGGATACCTTCTGGGAAGAGCTTGTCGCAATTAGGGGCCTTTGGGAGGGGACTTTAATGTGATAAGGTACACAAGCGAGACAAACAACCCCAACCAGTCCATAACAACAAGTATGAGACACTTCAACTCCTTGATTGAGCCCCAAGAACTAAGAGAACCCACCTTGTTACAAGCCTCTTTCACCTGGTCAAATCTTCAAAAAAGTCAAGTGTGCTCAAAGTTGGACAGGTTCCTTTTCTCCATTGATTGGGAGGAGTTGTGGGGAAACTTAACATTGAAGGCCCTTCCTAGAGTAACCTCAGATCACTACCCCCTAAGTCTTTTCCAAGAAAACCTTATTAGAGGTCTTACTAGGGGTGAGCAAAAAAAACCGAAAAACTGAACCAACTGAAAAACCGATCAAAACCGAACCGAAAATTCGGTTAACCAAACCGATTGGTTCGGTTTCGGTTCAATATTTGAAAAAAAAAACAACAGTACCAGTTCAGTTTCGGTTAACCAAAATAGAAAACCGACAATTAACCGAACCGACCGGTATACATATATATATATATATATATATATATTATGTATATTTATATTATATATTTTATATTTTCTATACATGATAAATTAATAAATATGCATTATATATAAATATATATTTTTATAATATATAATATATTATTTATTATTTAAAATATAATATTATATATATTTCTACTATTTTATTATATATTTATATATTTTTCTATAATAAATATTGTAAATAATAAAAAACCAAAAAAACAAAGAACTGAACCGGTTAACTGATTGGCTTCGATTCGGTTTCTGTTACCAATAACCCCGGTTCGGTTTCAAAAATTAGCCCTCGGTTCGGTTAACCAAACCGTGAGCACCCCTAGGCCCTACACCCTTTAGATTTGAGAATATGTGGCTGAAAGTCCCAAACATTTTGCAAAAAGTTGGTGGTCAGAAGGTGGAATAAGGGCTAGAGAGAAAGGGGTGAGATTCACAAACAAGTTGGAAAGAGTGAAGGAAAAGGTTAAGGAGTGGAACAGAGAAGAATTTGGAAAACTCGAGGTCATAAAGGAGGAATTAGCCAGGAGGCCCAGGAAAATAGAGGAATTGATCAATTGGACCAAAAGGAAGCCTGTAAAGAGTGTGGGCCAGAGGATAGATCAGAAAGATGGAATTTAAAAGTGCAACTAGAGGAAATCCTGAGGAAGGAAGAAACTTCTTGGAGACAAAAATCAAGGTGTAAATGGCTTCTAGAGGGGGATGGAAACACCAAAGTTTTCCATTCACTAGCAAATGGGAGAAGAAGAAAAAATCAGATCTTTAGCATTGAGGTGGAGGGAAGACTAAGAAACTCAAAGGAGGAAATTGAAAGGTGCTTTGTGAATCATTTCAAATCAATCCTTGCCTCCTCAGTTGAAAGCAATTTGGAATTGGAAGAATTACATTGGGATAGAGTGTCAGAATCCAAAGCTGCCCTGTTAGAAAGAGTCTTCAATGTAGAGGAGGTCCATGAAGCAATTTTCTCAATGGATAGATCCAAAGGTCCGGGTCTGGATGGTTTCTCAATGGCTTTCTACCAAAATTGTTGGGAAATCATAAAAGATGACTTAATGGATGCCTTTGTTGAGTTCCATCAAAAAGGGGAAATCTCTCCAAGAGCAAATGCAACTTTTATTGCTCTAATGCCTAAAAGGAAAGAGGCCAAAACCCTTAAGGACTACAAACCGATAAGTCTTGTGGGTAGCATGTATAAGATCATTGCAAAAGTTCTGGCTGGTTGACTAAAGACTATCTTGCCCTTTGTCACTTCTCAGAACCAAGGAGCTTTTGTAGAGGGGAGACAAATAGTGGATCAAATCTTAGTGGCAAATGAATGTGTGGCAACTAAGAAAAAACAAGGTGGCAAAGGCTTGATTTGTAAATTGGATCTAGAGAAATCCCATGATATGGTGGATTGGTCTTTCCTAATGAATCTCATGGAAAAGATGGGTTTGGGTGAAAGATGGAGGCTATGGATTAAAGGATGTATTAGCTCAGCACATTTCTCTGTCCTTTATGGGGTAGCAAAGGACTTCTTACCGGCCAAAAGAGGACTGAGACAAGGTGACCCCTTATCCCCCTTCTTGTTTACCTTTGTTGCTGAGGTTTTGAGTAGACAAATCATCAAGGCTGACCAAGAAAATCAGTTTAAAGGTTGGAGGATTGGCACATCAGAGGTGATGGTGTCTCACTTGCAATTTGCAGATGATACTATCATTTTCTGTAAGAGTTGTGATGAACCTAGTTTGAGGAATCTGAAAATTTTGGTGGATAAGTTTCAGCAAGCCTCAAAACTAAAAGTGAATTGGGGAAAAAGCTTTGTAGCTGGATTAAACTTAGAAGAGGGTGGCATCCAAGCGATAGCAAATTTCCTAGGTCCTGAAGTAAAAAGCTGGCCTCTAGAATACCTAGGTATGCCCTTGGTGGGAAACCCGAAAGCTGAAAGCTTCTGGAAACCAGTTTTAGAGAGGTTCACTAAGAAGTTGGCAATGTGGAAGAGAAGTTATATTTCCATGGGGGGAAGAATAACCTTGATAAAATCTACCCTAGCAAATTTGCCC